AAGTAGGTGCTTTAGACCACTGAGCCATCTCACCAGCCCCAGTAATTACTTTTCAATTGTATGACCAATAACAAAAAAACCCAAAGAGAACATGCATGACCCAAACGACACAATGGTAAACTATACAATGTAATATGGTACTTTAATATAACTGAGAATATAAATTTAAAGTACATTTTGCTTCAGATAATATTTTATGGTAAGCAAACCAAGAAACTGGGGAAACATCTGCTTTACAACTTCTGGGATAACTGGTTTCTTTCTTTCTTTTTTTTTTTTTTTTTTTAATGTCTTTAGTATAGGGTCTACAGACTTGTAGCAATCCTTCCTGCTTTTCAGCCTCCCAAGCGCTGGGATTACAGGCATGTGCCACCATGCCCAGTCTCATTCACCATCTCAGCATGCCCCAGGGGTGGGGTCAGCATGGCATGACAGGGATCGAACCCTGGGCCCCTCTGTGTAAGCAAGTGCTTTAATCTGCTGAGCTAGCTGGCCGGCCCTATGGTTTCTTAATCCAAAATGACTGTTTAATTCAGAATGTAACACCACAATACTTCACATTAGAATGGTGTGATATAACAATTAAATTGAAAGGTACCCCCAAAAAATCTTTTTATTTTCTAAAAAACAGTCTTCTATTATCTAATACCTTTTAGTTTTAAACTCTAATATTATTTATTAGAGATTATCCTGCCATAAATAAAGTTATTTTCAATATTAGAAATCTACAGGTCATATACATAACATGAAATACCCTTCACAGTGTCTTTTAAATACTGCCTACATTTAATGCAATTAAAATAAGTATGGCACTGAAACCACAGGTTCTAGGAAAGTATCAAATACTTCTTCAAGACAGAGTCTCAGTATTACAAGAAAGAAAGTACCCCACTTCCCCAGCCCTAACAGAAGCACATGTAGGGTCAGGCTAACCTGTTTTTTTTATTTATTTTTATGTATTTGGTTGTTATAAGGTCTCACTGCACAGCTGGGACTCATAGTGATCCTCCTGTTTTCAGCCTCCCCAGCGCTGGGACTACAGGCGTGCGCCACCACATGGGGAGCTCAACCCAACCTGGGGGCAGGACTGCATGGCATGTGGTGCTGGGGTTTGAACCATGGTCCCTGCACTTGCCAAAGGTTGCCTAAGCAGGCGCTTTAGTATGCTCAGCTGTCTCGCTGGCTGCTAACCTGGTTCTGAGTCACTGCTGTCAGAAGAGCTGGAATCACTGCTGCTGCTTTCAGATCCAGTAGAACTGCTGCTGCTGCTGCTGCTGCTGCTGCTGCTGCTGCTGCTGCTGCTGCTGCTGCTGCTGCTGCTGCTGCTGCTGCTGCTGTTAGCGCTGCTGCTGCTGCTGCTGCTCTCGCTCAGGCGGGATCCAATTCCAAATGCCGTGACTGATGGAGACTTTTTAGCTATCAAATAGGAAAACATTAAAATGCTAACAGAAGAAAAAAAACATCAAAACCAAAGAGTTGCTAGGGCAATTTAAAAGCTGTCATGTACATTTTTTTTTTTAATTTTAAAGGGAAGAGAAAATAGATAAGACATTAGAAACAATACACAATGTTGAAAATACAAGATGACAGGTACTCAGCAGTAGTGGCTGGTCAGATTCAGATATAAACATAAAATTGGTCAAAGTAAAAAGTTTAAGCCTTAACTGCTGCCTTTAAAAATCTAATAGAAATTAGTGGTACAATCATCTTAGCTATTCTATATATATACATACATACATACATGATTTTTTTCCCTTTCTTTTTTCCTATCTTTTCTCCTTTCCCTCATCCCAAGGGTTTTTTCCTTATATTCAGTTTCTTTTTGTTCTACTATACCTGTTGTACCCTTCAGATTATTTACCCTTTCAGGTTCTTACACTAGGGAGACAATACGATGTTTACACATGTGGGTCTAATGTATTTCACTTATGAGTATGGCCTCTAGTTGCTCCATTTACCTACGAAATCCTCAAGTTTATCTTTCTTTATAGTTGAGTAATACTCCATTTATATTAAAATACTACATCTTTTTTATCCATTTCTCATTTGATGGGCATTTGGGTTGTTTCCATGATTTATCTATGACAAATTATGCTGCTATAAACATGGGTGCACATATATCTATAGTATGATGTTTTCAGTTCTTTTAGAAAAATACCCAGTAGGGGAATAGCTGGGTTGAATGGGATCTACTTACATTTTACCTGACGTTTTCCATAATTTAATTGATTGTTGACCTCCCGTAAGCGCTTTTCCAACTCTTGTTTCTTCTGGGAATGAATTTCTTCTTTGGACTTCGTTACTTTCTTATCTGTGTGATTTAGGAATTAAAAAAAAAAAAAGATGTGGAAAAACTAACACAAATAGCATACTAGACTCTTTGGCATAGGCAGAAACACCTACCATGGAGTTTTACTGGTCTTTTCCTTAGACATGCTGAGACATACTTTGCTAGCTCTCTTAGTGTTGATGGTTTTAGTGTTTCGAAGTCTATCTCCACCTCTTCAGGGTTGGAACTTTGCAGTGAGGGCTCTCGGGATTGTATTATATGAACTATGCGGGCCAGTTTGTCTCCAGGGAGCTTGTTTATATCTAAACTCAACTGCCTTTTCTCATCATAGCTCATAGGCTTAGCACTATCTTCGTCTTCAAATTTAGGAGTCAAGAATTCATATTTCTTCTTCGTTGGTTGGCTGTAATAAAATTACCTTTAGTCAAATTTTATTTATTAGTTTGTTAAGGGGTGGGCAAACAAAACAGGTCCCACTCCACCACTGAGCTACATTCTAGTGAAATTCATTTTAAATAATGTTATTCTTAAAAAATATTATTCTTTATACAAGCCATCTTAACAATACTTACTTGCTCTTGGACTTTTCCTTTAGTTGAAAATTTTTCTTTGGATTTTCATCGCTTTTATTAATATTTTCTCTTTTTTTTCTTTTTTTAGACTTTTCATTTTTTTTCTTTAGCTTACGGAAAGGTACTTGGGATAAAGCCTGTAGTTGTTGATGAACAGCTTTAAGCTAATAAAGAAAATATAAACTTTAAACATTTATGGCTCTAAATAATCAGAGACTCTAGAAAAAAAATTAAAGTACTCCAAAGCCTAGAGCATTTCTTGTGAAATTCATTTCATATATTTTCTTTAGGTGTTCATTTTACTTCAGAAATTCATTGTTTTGATGAATGTACATTAAGCTTCCAACACTACAATGTATTCAACCTATAAATCTAATTGAGGGCTGGTGAGATGGCTCAGTGGTCTAAAGTACCTACTTAGAACAAGCTTAGCAAAGCACACGGACCGTGGTTCAATCCCCCAGCACCACATGCCAGCCAGCCCCGCCCCCTGGTGGGCTGAGCTGGCCAAACACACACACACACACACACACACACACAAAATTTAAAAAAAAAATAAATCTAATTGAAGCATTCACCTAAAGCAGACCAAGATGACTAGGAGTGTATAGTTCAATGGTAGAGAGCTTCCCAGCAAATGTGAGGCCTGAGTTTGATTCTTAGTACTGCAAAAATAAATAAGAAAAATAAAAAGAGACCAATAATGATTTGCATTTCTAAGCCATTTTATTTATTTATTTATTTATTTATTTATTTGGTATAGGGTTTCACTATGCAGCTTGGACTTGTAGTGATCCTCCTGTCTCAGCCTCCCTAGCACTGGGATTACAGGCATGTGCCACCATGCCCAGTTTTGGTGACCTGCACAGCATATCCTGGGTTCTGGGGCTGGCATGGCATGTGGTACCGGGAGCTGAACTGAACCTTGTTGAGTACTCTCAATAGATTCACCAGGTCCTTGCACTCACCAGGCAGGTACGTAGACCACTGAGCTATCTCCCCAACCCCTCCATTTTAAATTGTTCAATCATTAATTTTTCAGGCCTGAGCTCAGAGCGGGTTAACATTTTATCACCAAAAAAAGCATATTAAATAAGATCTCATGCATAACATATCTCAGATTATGTCATAAATTAGTAAGAATCAACCACTTCATGTGACTAGGAATATACACAAGAGAATTCTACTTAAAAATAGAATTTTACAAGCATATATAAATTTGAGTTGGAAAGACTATGAAAAATTCTGTGAAATAAGTGAAAGATGTGAAATAAGTGAAGTTGCATTTGCTAAGCGCTCTCAATATAGTAACCTGGAATCTTTAAGAAGGTGGGGATGTAGCTCAGTGGTACAGCGTTTGTCTAGAATGTGTGAAGCCATGGCTTTGACCTACACTATTGTATACCCCCACAAACACACGTTTGGCATAAAGGCACACAATTGTAATCCTACTAATCAGGAGACAAGGCAGGAGGTTTGAAAGTTTAAGACCAGCGTGGGAAACAGAGAGAGATCTTGTCTCAAAATAAAAATACAGGGGCCGGGGAGATGGCTCAGTGGAATAAGCGCTTCCCTGGCAAGTACAAGGGCCTGAGTTCAATCCCTGGTTCCGCAAAAAAAAAAAAAAAAAAAAATTAAAAAAAATAAAAATAAAAACACAAAAGACCTGGGGATATAGCTTAGTGTTCCCTACGTTTAATTCCCAGTACCCACCAACAAACAAATGTAAAGCCTTAAAGAATTTTGTAATAGATCTGCTTTCAGAAATGAGATCAAAGTTTGTTCTAATAACAGTCAACTACCTGCTCTTGAAGCTTTGCAAGACGCTTAACTTGTTCGTCTTCAGAATCATCAGAAGAGTTATTTTCAGAGGAATCTTCACTACTGCTTTCTTTACTAAGGGTTTTCGTAGTGCCTGTTGTGATGGTACACACAGGAATACTCTCAACAGGTTCATCAGGAATTCTGGCAAAATGCATTTCAAAAACATCCTATGATGGAAAATTAGACCGTTAAAGTATTCTTTATTTATTGCAGCACTAACATCATTTCCAAAAAATTTTGTTGTCATATTTTGACCAGAATTTTTAAAAGACATACCAAGGTTATACATTTATTTGCTTGCCAACTTTGGGAGCTTTTTTCCAAACAAGATAGCCCCAACTTATAAGCAGATTTTCTTTCAGGAACTCTACTGTTAGAGCATCATTCTGCCCTCCACTGGCCTACATTCTGATGCCCTGGACCTTCTTTTGATTGGGACTTTCTCCAATCAACCCCATCTCAGAAGTCTATAGGCCTGTCTTCACACTATGCCTCATTTCTTTTGTATCACAAATAGCTTAATTAAAAGATTTGCTATTAATGGATAAAATAACTCAAAAGACAAAGGTACAGTTCATAAATTACAAACCGGGGATATAGCTCAATGACGTAAGCGCCTGCCTAGCAAGTGCAAGATCCTGAGTTCAATCCCTGGTACCGTCAAAAAAAAAGAAAAAAAAGTTTATAAATTACTCTGTACTATATAAAAATCTATTATTGTATTTTAAATGATAGTTCTAAAATTTTTTAACTTTTAACACAGGAAAATTACATTTTTTCCTAAGTTTTTCATAATTTTTATATTAATAAATTTTTCATAAGGAAAGCTCACCTGAAGCATTCTAGCCATAGTCACAACTTCATTATCTGGAGAATTATATTTGTAGCAATTCATGAACATTAATCGAATGTCTGCAGCAAATTCACAGGCATCCTTATATTCTTGGTTGTCCATTTTCTTCTAAATTAAGGAAAAAATCACAGGATTCACAAACAATATAGTTTAAGTCAACAACTAAGCATCCCTATTTGTTTATTATATTATGACAAGATTCAGAAATACAGGAGAATGTAGAAAACAAAACAATTACCTACAATATTTTAAAAAACTTAGAATTATACTGTTTCACACTGTTAAACTGAAAAAACTCCAGTAAGTTTTGACAAATAAAGAAAAGGAAGAAGGCATTCCAAACAAAGAAAAAGATAGGAATGAAATCAGAAAGGCAGGAAAAGTGTCATCAGATTGTCTTGAGTAGGAAAAGTGATAGCAAAAAAGTGGTAAAAGAGTAATCTCCTTAAATCATTCTTGATCACCTGAATGAAAGCTTTATATAAAATCTGTTGAGCCAGGGAAATAGCTCAGTAGAGTAAGCGCTTGCCTGGCAAGTGCAAGGGCCTGAGTTCAATCCTGGGTTCCATAAAAAAAAAAAAAAAAAGTTAACAGCCATACATATTTTGGGCTGGCGAGATGGCTCAGTGGTCTAAAGCACCTACTCGGAACAAGCTTGGCAAAGCACAGGGACCGCGGTTCAATCCCTCAGCACCACATGTCAGCCAGCCCCGCCCCCTGGTGGGCTGAGCTGCCCCCCCACAATAAATAAATAAATAAATAAATAAATAAATATTTAAAAAAAATAAAATCTGTTGAGAATGACAAGATGTCAAAAATAAAGATTAAGGGGCTGGGGAGATAGCTCAATGGAATAAGGGCCTGCCTGGCAAGTGCAAGGTACCGAGGTCAATTCCTGGTGCAAAAAAAGCCCAAAGATGAATATGAGTATGAATTGTACTTTTAAATATTCTTTTTTAAAAAACATATTTGGTACAGGATCTACAAGGTCTACAGGGGTTCACTATGTAGATCAGACTCACAGTGATTTTCCTGTTTTCAGCCTCCCAAGCACTGGGATTACAGGCATGTGCCACCACACCCACTCTCAATGGCTGTCTCAGTGTGCCCCAGGGGTGGGGCTGGCACAGCATGCCAGGGATCAAACCCCAGCTGCTGTGCTCTGCCTAAGCAGGTGCTTTAGTCTGCTGAGCTATCTGGCCAGGCCTTATATTTTTAGGTAGTTGCATATAAAAGGAATAGAAGAGTGGAGGTAGACTAGCTAATGAAAACTAGCCCTTCAAACTAGCAAGAAGGGCTGGCAAGATAGCTCAGCTGACTAAGCACCTGCTTAGGCAAGCTCAGGAACCGAGGTTCAATGCCTGGCAACACACGCCCCGCTGGCCCCGGCCCTGGGTGTGCTGAGCTGAGTCTGGCCATGGCAGCTCATGCCTATAATCCCAGCTCTGGGGAGGGTGAAAACAAAAGGATCACTACAAGTCTGAGCTACATAGTGAGACCCTGTGCCAAATACATTTAAGAAAAGAAAAGAAAAACTAGCAAGAAAATTCTAGAGACTACTGGACAAAATGTGCACATTAAGGAACAATTCACAAATATGAAAGGCCAGTAAACAAATGCAACACACCAATCCTCACTGGAAAGTAAGGAAATGCAAAACTGAAACATCAAACATAACCTACCAATCAGATCACTGTCAATTGAAGGACTCCAAAGAACTAGATTTTCTAGTTATTGAAATCCTGCAATAGCCTCTTAACCAGTCTGCAAACTGATACTAGAGAAACTTTATAAAAGTCAAATATAGACTGGAGAGATAGCTCAGTGGCTTAAGCACCTGTCTGGCAAATTCAAGGTCCTGAGTTGAATTCCCTGCTACGGAGAACAACAAAAAAAAAAAATCAAATATAAGGACATAATTTTCATGTTTAATGGCAGCAGCTGTTGGCTTCTTTCCATTAGTCTTTCTTAAAAAACCCATATTTCCTTCTAGTTTCACCTTTGCCCGGGTTTCCTTCATATTCCCCATGCATTTCAAGTTGGACCAAATATAGTATTCTGAATGTTTTCTTCATCTCATGGCCATTCTATAAATTGTCTCCCCTGCCTAGAACATTCTGTAACTTATCAAAGTCTTATTTATCCTTTAAGATTTGGTTCAGATTTGTTATAAGTCAGATAATGCTTTATGACATCTGAATCTAAGTTACTATAGAGAGAAAATTAAGATAGTACTATTTTGAAAACATACTGACTACAAATACTTTCAGAACTTAAAGGCATGGTCTTGACACTCAAAGTGCTAAGTTCTAGTTAAAATGAATAAAATCAAATGTACGACTAGAGGGCTGGTGAGATAGCTAGGTGCTCTAACGCACCTGCTTAGGCAAGTTTAGGCAAACAGCCAGGGACCACGGTTCCATCCCCAGCACCACAGGCTATGCCAGCCCTGCGCCTAGGTGGGCTGAGCTGGCCACAAAAAAGTACAACTAGAGAGAAAAGAAAGACAGGTTACCTATGAAGGGATGACAAACAAACCAATAGTACATAACATGAATAGATGTCTTGAATGTCTTCCAAGTGGGAAGAGGGAAGATTGCCATTTTAGAATTATATAATAATCACTTGAGAATAAGGGCAGAGTATAGTTATTACTAGGCATAGTGGCACACACTGATAATCCTAGCCTCTCAGTGCTGAGGTAGGAGGATCACAAGTTTGAGGCAGCCTGGGCAACTTAAGTCGTATCTTGTCTCAAAATGAAATTTTTTTTTAAAAGGGCTGGGGATATAATTCAGTGTAAAGACCTTAACATGTACAAGGCTCTGGGTTCAATCCCTAGTACTGAAAAAAAAATAAATATAGATTCTGACATGTTAATAATAAACATTATGCTGTTGATTAAAAAAAGACAACTGAAAGAAAAATCAAACATCTAGAAAGAATCAAGAATAGAGAATACAATGAGTAGTTGTTTGGGAGGTGGGCTGAGATACTAAATAATTTTAAAGATGTTATATAGTTCTCTATCCTTTGAAATAGTTACTGATAAAATTAATATACATAAAATACTGTACATGAAATTTTCCAATGATTTAAAGCTTCCAGCCAGGCTTGATGGTGCGCACCTATAATTCCAGCACTTGAAAAGCTGAGGCAGGAGGATCACTGAAAGTTCAAGGCCACCTTGGGCTACATAGTGAATTCAAGGCCAGTCTGAACTATATAGTGAGACCCTGTCTCAAAATAACAACAATCAAAACAAAACAAACAATTTTTTTTTTCAAATCAGCAAATAAGATAGTATACCAATGCAAGAGAAGATATCTTCCCCCTAATAAAGAGGATAAATGTCTTACCTGCATAAGGCATAAATGTCTTAACAAAAACAAAGGACCTTTTAAAAAGCTGGAATCATGTAATTATTAAAAAATATTCCCAAAGAAGATGGGCATGTTACTACATACCTATAATCCAAGCTACTTCAGAAGCTGAAGCAGGAGGACCACAAGTTTGTGGGTAGCCTGGGCAACTTAGTGAGATCCTGTCTCAAAAATGACAGAATGTGCTAGGGGTGTAGTTCAGTGGCAGGGCCCTGCCTTCAATCTCAGGACAAAACAAAAACCAAAAAACAACAACAAAAAATCTTGAAGAATGTGAAACAAGAAAATGTCCATTTACAAGAATGAAAATTCAGAGTACAGAGCACATTACATACTACACTGCAAATATTATGATAAAGGAGAATGAATGTGTTCACATGAGAATCACTGTTTCAATAATTTGCTTTAGGTGATATGTTCTGGTGATTACATTTTCTTCCCCTTTTTCTGAGTTTTGCAATGATAGATTTCTTTCTTTCTCTTTCTCAGACAAATTCTAGCTATGTTGCCCAGGCTGGCATCAAACTCCTGGGCTCAAATGATCCTCCTGTCTTAGTCTCTAGAGGAGCTAGGATTATGGGTATGTTCCACATGTCCAGCTGGATGAATTATTTTTATATCAAGAAAAGAACTGAGGGCCTGGGAGATGGCTCAGAAGAATAAGCGCTTGCCTGGCAAGCGCAAGGGCCTGAGTTCAATCCCCACAAGGGGAAAAAAAAAGACCTGAGGGGTAGGGAGATAGCTCAGCGGGCTAATCTCCTGCCTGGCAGGCTCAAGGCCCTGAGCCTGATCCTTAGTACCATGTGCCGTGAGGGCCCCGGAGTCCCAGATGTGACATGTGGGACCCAAAACCAGGTGTGGTGGCACACACCTGTAATCCCAGTGCTGGGAAGGCCAAGACAGGAGGATCATTATGAATCTGAGCTACATGGTGAGACTGTATACCAAATTAATTAATTAATTTAGAAAGAAAATAATTGAGCTGGGCATGATGCGTACCTGAAATCTCTACATTTGGGAGGCTGAACAGAGGCTTGAGAGTTTGAGGCCAGCCTGGGCTACATAGCAAGGACCTACCTCTAAAAATACAAAACAAAACAAAATTATCAAGAAAAAGAAAATAAGTTCTTCCTATTAAGACAATACTTGCCTTAATAGTTCCAAGATCCATTGGATTTTTGACAATGTCATAGTAGTTATGTAGTCCCAAAGCGTCAACATCAACAGGATTATAAAACGGCCACGCGTACGAAACATGTTTCTTGGAAAACATTTCTTTAAGAATTTCATTACAGTGCTTTAGTTGTTCAGTTATTTTATTCCTCTTTTCAACTTTACAATGTTGCTGAGAATCTGGCAAAACATTTTTCGACTCATTTTCTTTTATTGGTGGCGTTCTGGCCAGTTTCTTTTCCATAGGTGGTGTAGAAGATTCATGACTTGTTGTAACTGCAGAGGTGGTAGGAGTTGTTGTGTCTGCTTTTCTCTTCACACCCCTGGTGGCCTAAAGGGAAACAATTCAAGGACAGAAAGCTGCACTTCCACAAAAGCTATACTTAAGGAGCTAGTCATCAAGGAAGGAAAATGGAGGGGGCTAGGGGTGGTGTGCACTTCTGCGATCCCGCAATCTGGAGGCTGAGGGTGGAAGATCACGACCATTTCAAGGCCAGCCTTAGATCACAAAACAAGACCATTCTCAAAATCAAAACAAAACATAAGTAAAAAGGAAAAAGGCAATGTAGGAAATTTGTACATGTCGTGGTCAATGCATGTATTAAATGTTAAAGATTAATTTCTCTTTTATAGGCAAAATAAATAGCTCTAATGATTTTTTCCCACATTCTAAAGAATTATCTCATACAAGTTCTTAGGGAAAGAGAAAAAAATCAAAGTCATGGTTATACAAAAGGTTTATGAATATCTGAAATAAATTAGGGTACACATATAAAAAGTAAAACTATGGGTGAACAACTTTTGATCTTAATGCTATCAAGATTAAACAGTTTAAATTATATCAAAGAGGGGCTGGTGAGATGGCTCAGTGGTCTAAAGCACCTACTTAGAACAAGTTTAGCAAAAACACATAGGCCGCGGTTCAATCCCCCAGCACCACATGCCAGCCAGCCCCGCCCCCTGGTGGGCTGAGCTGGCCACACACACACACACACACACGCAAAAATAAATAAATAAAAATTAAAAAATAAATAAATAAATAAATTATATCAAAGAATCTCTACAATTTACTTAGCATTCTTGGTCTCTGTTCACAAGATGCATAAAGGTAGAAATAATATGACAAAATTTTTGTATGCTCAAGATGAATTTTGTTTATCAACTTAAATGAAAGTGGAAGCCAAACACAGTGGCTTGTATTGTAACTTCCAGTATTTTGGGAGGCTGAGGCAGGAGGATTGCAATTTTGAGCACAGCCTGGGTTATTTAGCGACTTAGTGAGGCCCTAAAAAAATAGAGGATTGCATCTCCCCATACTAAACAAAACAAAAACAAAAAGATCCAAAAGAAAGCACCATCATCCTGGGTTACACAAAATATTTTAAGAACTAATGATTTAAAAACTGTAATAAACTTACCTGGACCACAGTTTGTGAGCTCGAGTGGAGTAAAGCTCCTTGTGCCAAGTTCAAGGGAAATATGGACATCTCAGGAAGTGCTGAGGGAAACTTTTGCTGCTTAAATACAATTTCTGTTGCTCTGGGGGATGGTTTTTCTTTAACAGAAGAAACGGATACATTCTTTTGAGTGCCTGAAAAAGTGAACAAAGTCAAATACTTGAGTAAGCATAAAATACCATTCTTTCTTTTTTTTTTTTTTTAAAGTTTATTTATTTATTTATTGTGTGTGTGTGGCCAGCTCAGCCCACCAGGAGGCAGGGCTGGCTGGCATGTGGTGCTGGGGGATTGAACCGCGGTCCCTGTGCTTTGCTAAGCTTGTTCTAAGTAGGTGTTTTAACCACTGCGCAATCTCACCAGCCCCAATACCATTCTTTCTTAATTCTAATCCTGGTTTTTAGAAAAACATTTATTTGAGTATTTACTCTAAACACAACAGCAACATTTCATTCTTAGCGACGGGATCTATTGGCGATGAGGGCCTTATCAGTGCAGAACACAGTTAGAACCTATGCTGGAAACAGTAATAACATCCAGTATGATTTATTGGATGCCTGTCTGATAAACAGCACTGTGTGACAGGAAGCCTGGCTTTAACTCCATTATCAGTGCAATCCTCTCTCCTCTTGCATAGTAACCAGCCTTGAGACAAGGCTTAGCAGACTGAAAGGATATATTGTACCAACATAATAGGATGTAGAAGAACTTCCGTCTCCTTTGAGGGATTTTATATTCATATATATGAGAGATTAAAGAAAGATCAGATGAAGAGGTGACATAAATGATTTAACTCTCTTCGCTTACCCTTCTTTATTTTTTCTTTGCCCACAACTTGTTCTTCTTGTGGCATCTGAGATAATTTCTGCATAAACAACTTCTCCAGAGCTTGTGCCATAAGAACAACATCATCTCCAGGCTAGAAATATGTTAAATATTGCATAGGATTTTAAAAAAATTCAGGCCGACTTATAAAAACAGCGATATAGTAGTTCTAGACATTAGTTATTTCTTCTAAATTAAGTTTAGAAAATAGTGAACATTAAATTCTAACATCAGGGCCAGCCAGATAGCTCAGCGGACTAAAGCGCCTGCTTAGGCAGAGCACAGAGGCGGGGGTTTGATCCCCGGAGTGCTGTGCCGGCCCCACCACCGGGCGCACTGAAAGGGCGATTAAGACTGGCGTGGTGGCACATGGCTGTAATCCCGGCACTTGGGAGGCTGAAAACAGGAGGATCACTAAGTCTAGTCTACACAGCGAGACCCTGTAGACCCTGTCCTAAATATAAATAAGTAAATAAATAATAAATAAATAAATTCTAACAGAATTTATTCTGTTATCCTACCTCTTCAACTTCTAAAAAGGACCAGAATACCTCTCTCAGTATCAGAAGTATAATCCAACCAATCCTATTAATACAAGGTAATACATACAAGAATTTCTACTCGTCAGTAGGTTAAAATGAAATGCACTTATTAATGGGTGGAGTACTTCATTGTTTAACTAGAAGCAATTATTACCTTACATATAACACTAAAGTGTTGACTCAATTTAAAAATCTTAACTATCATATTAGAAGTCTTTCTTATACTTTTATTTTACTGCTCAGAAAAAAAAATGTTAAAAAGCAACAAACTAAACCAAGAACATTTATTTCTAAGTTAGGTAGCTAAGGAAAATTATTGAACTTTGTTTTAAAGTGTTAAATGTATAAGAACACTTTAGAATTACTTTGTAACAGGGATTGAACTCAGGACCTAGCGCTTGCCAGGCAGGCATTTATGCAGCTCAGCTACCTCCCTGGCCCTAGCTTTTAAAGATCAAATTAAATGGCACTTATAACCATTGATACTGATTTTTTTAAAAACTCACATAAGTTAACAGAATTAAATCTTTTAAATATACAAGGCAACACTGATAGTAACCTTGGGAACCAAGTCAAAATTTGTTACATTTCAGTATGACTAATAAGCGATTTTTGTATACATTCCAAATACTTAGATTTCTCCTATCTAAATGGAATATAATGGGCCAGGGGGATAGCTCAGTAGAATAAGTGCTTTCCTGACAAGCACAAGGTCCTGAGTTCAATCCCTGGTTCCGGAAAAAAAAAAAAAAAAAAAAATCGAATGTAAGTCTTAAAATACTGAAATACCATGAAACAGATAAAAAAGGATAAGATACCATGGAAAACAGGAATACTAAATGGAAGAAAAACTAAATACATAGTCCATTTTCACAGATGAGAACAAATGTGAAGACTAAGGTAAAAATGTCCATATATGAAGTGCGATTGAAATGTTTAAGGTTAAAAAGCTTTATCACAGTAAAAGACATAAAGGATACTCTGCCATTAAACTCTCCTCACTTAGAACACACTTACACAATCACGCTTGTCACTTTCTAAAGCAGTTCTGGCAGTCCTCTTTTGTAAGTATCCTTAGCTGAGCTGTCAGACCTGCTTCCATATCCTGAACTATCTCAAAACATTTACCTTTCTGGGTCACTTTGCCTGTGGGGGGACCGAGGAGATGGCTCAGTAAAATAAGCACTTCCCTGGCAAGCACAAGGGCCTGAGTTCAATCCCTGGTTCCGCAAAAACAAAAACTTTGCCTGTGGGGATGACGGAAGTTGCAAGGAGCCAGATCCAGTGAGCAGGTAAGCACAGTGGGCTGGGGACATGGTAAATAAACCTTTGGATGAGCCTGCTTTCCTATTTTTGGCACTTGGAAGTGGTGCTCACTGTATTTTTGATCAGGCCTTGTAAAAACTCATAAAAGAACACTTCTAGAGCTGCTTCACACTGTGGCAAGGACAACGGGATAAGAGTACATGGAACTGAAAGGCAATTTCCTAAGAAAGACTAAAGGTAAGAGGAGGTGCCTGTTTGTGCCTGGTAGCACCCGGCTATAATCCAGAATAAAGAAGGCTGAAGGACAGGAGTGGGAGTTCACAGCTAGCCTTAACTACACAGAGAGTTTAAGGCCAGCCTGGATGACATAACAAGACTTTATATCCTCCTCAAAATAAAGCTATATAGTATTTCATTTTTCAAAAACACTGTGCTATTACAGCTACTCAGGCAAAAAGTCAGCAAAATAGACTGAACAAATGTTGATGTGTGGAAATTACAGAAACCAGTAAATAACATTATCTTCAAATATATGTAAAGTAGTCCAAATTGAAATTTGAATTTTGAAATATGTATACTTACTTATACATCTTTCTCCTATATGTAAAAGCAATGGGTTAATAGTATAAGTCTTACATACCTTGTTATATAAATAACAGTTTGAGAACATTACATTGAAGTCTTCTATACATTCTGAAGCCTTCACATAATATTTATTCTCCAATCGCTTCTTAATTGTATTTAAATCCATTGGGTTTTTAATAATGGTATAATAATCCTATTGATTTGAAGAAATTATAAGTATTAAAATGAATTCACAAATATTAGTACAAAAAGAAATTTAATTAACTCAACAGAGCTACTGATCACCTTTAAAAGCTATAATGTGGAAAACAGTATGGAAATTCCTCAAAAAGACAGGACTAGATATTTGACCCAGCTCTTTCTCTTCTTGACATCTTTCCAAAAGAATTAAAAGCATCAGAGTCTGTAACAGCTAAATCATGGTAACAGCCCAAATGGCCACCAACCAATGATGGAGAAAGAAGAGGTGGAGCACTGCTCTGCCATAGTGGAGGATAAACTGGAGGTGTTCATAGGTAAGTGGATGTACCCTGAGACCATACACTTAAGTAAAATAAATCTAATACATATGTGTAAATACTGAATTGTTGGGGCTGGTGAGATGGCTCAGTGGTCTAAAGCACCTACTTAGAACAAGCTTAGCAAAGCACAGGGACCACGGTTCAATCCCCCAGCACCACATGCCAGCCAGCCCTCTCCCTGGTGGGCTGAGCTGGCCACACACACACACACACACACACACACACACAAATTAAAAAAAAATACTGAATTGTTTCTCTGGTGTGAGAAATTGAAAGTGTAAATACGGACCCAAATGCATAATAGATACTGTGAAAAAGGAAGAAAATATAACAGTGTGAAAAGGAATTAGGTAGGGAAAGGAGGAAAGAAAGGAAAAGAAAAAAATGAGAAAAGGGAAAAATGGAAACAAAGCGTTCGTAAATAAGGGGAGGAAGAGGTTTTGAAGGGAGGGTAGGAGAATAAAGAAAAAGAGGAATGGAGTTACATATATCATGTATAGATATAAATTCCCTATGATGAGTATTGTTATTATGTATACCTAAAATGTATCAATAATAAAAATAATTCCATCTGACACATCTACACCTCTCCTAATGATATTCCTGAAAGAATTAAAGACATAGTTTTAAAATCAAAATGATTAAAGACTGAGTGTGTTGGCACATGCCTATAATTCTACTACTTGGGAGGCTGATGTGGGAAGACCATCATGAGTTCAAGGCCAGCCTGGGCTACCTGAGTTCAAGACCAGCCTGAACTACATAGGAAAACTCTGTCTCAAAAAACAAAAACAAAAAGAATGAAAGACACTCTTACTACAGTGATATAGTGGGCCACTGAAAAAATTAAAGACATCTTTTAAACAAAAGAATTAAAAACTGAGTGTGAGTGTGATGGGGTATCACTAAAATCCCAGCACTCAGGAGGCTAAGACAGGAGGGTCACAAGTTCAAAGCCAGCCTGGCCTGCCCAGTGAGTTCAAAACTAGCCAGAACTACACAGTAACACCTATCAAAAAACCAAATGGACCTACAAAAAAAAAAAAAAAAAAAAAAAAAAAAAAAAAAAAAAAAAAAAAAAAAAATTAAAGATATCTTACTGGGCCGGGGAGATAGCTCAGTAGAATAAGTGCTTGCCTGGTAAGCTCAAGGACCTGAGTTCAATCCCCAGTACCGAAAAAAAAAAAAAAAGATATCTTACTATAGTGATATATGCATATTCATGTCTATAATAGCACAACTCATTAAATCTAAGCTTCTACAAATAACCCTAGCTTCCATCAACAAAAACATACAAAGTGGAATATTCTTTAGCCATAAGGAATAAAATCATGTCATTTGGGATCATAATACTAAGTGAAATAAATCAGACATAAAAAATTAAATATTGCATGGTTTCTATTATATAATAAACCTAAAATATAACTCAGTGAATGCATAAAAACAAGGGAGAGATGATAGGAAATAAGATAATAAGACTTCCAGAGACAGGGCAGGGAATCAAGGGGAGAGGAAAGGAGGGGAGGGGGTAAAGGGAGCAAAGATAATCGGGATATCCTACATGCATGCACCAGTGTCCAAAAAGAAGAGAACTTTTCTGTATTGCACTTATACATGAGCAAACAGGAGGAGGAAGAGAGGGCAGGGGGAGAAGAGGGGCAGTTGCAGGTGCCAGCCTAAGTAAAAACATCATGAAAATAAATTTAGCATAAAATAAATGCAAGTATATATATATATATATATATATATATATATATATATATATGGATATGATGCTAGAGACTGGTTATTTCTTACAAGATTTACAGGATTCTTCTTTCTTAAATTAACAGAATTACAAGACACAACTCACAGGTAACTTCAGTTTCACAGCATCCACAGGCTGTTGAAAAGGCCAGGAAAAACCATGTTTCCACAACGCCTTCAGAACCACTTTGTGCAGATACTGTAGCTGATTTGTCAGTCGCCCATTTTTCTTAGGGTTGATATACTCTGGTGGAGGTGGGTTAACAAAGGCTGTTTGTCGACTTGGCAGGGACATTGCTAACTGCTTCAAATCCAGAAACTAATGCTCTCTACGAGTATATGTCCTGAAAAAGAAAAGAATGAGAACCTTAGGAACACCAAACTTCATTTTGTCTCTGCTTTCCTGGTACTTGGGACTAAAGCCAGACCACACTGAGCTGCACCCCCAGCCATTCCTATGTGCCCATCTTGAGACAAGGTCTCACTAATATGCCCAGATTAGACTGGAACTAGTGGTCCTCCAGCCTCCCTCTCCCAGGTAGCTACAGGAACAGGGTGCATTACTTCACCTCTAGCTTGACTAAAAATGGTTTTCATAACTGAAAAGATTTAATGGTAAGAGATTTATCATATGATAGATTAAGAGAAAATAACATTCTATTTAAAACACACTTAAGACCAGAAAAAAGAAGCCAACAATAAATTGAATTTTATTTATTTTTTGGTATCTAGACTCGAACTCAGGACCTTGCACTTGCCAGGCAGGCAGTTGCGCCACTGAGCTATATCTCCAACCCACAAATGAAATTTTAAATAAATACCAACATATTCCTAAGTAGAGTGTTTCATTTATGTGTACTTTCACCTAAGATAGGTTAAATTCAATATTTCACAGAATTTCTCTCTACTTTTCAAAACACAAAACCGAGATTTTAGCAGGAAGAGTCTATAAATTCCTGGCTAAAGAAACAGCAAGGAATGTTAAACATATCCTTAGTATACAAGTATCCTATAATTGTTAGTTTAATGAAGAGAGAAAAATAAAGGATTTTCTGGCTAATTTTTCTTTTTCCTGGCTAGTTTAAATGTATTTTAAAAAAACATTCACTCAGGACAGTGGCATGTCCTTGTCATCTCAGCTACTCCAGTCTGGGCAACTTAGACCCTGTCTCAAACAGCAGAAGGTCTAGGACAGTGGTGTTGAACCCAGGGCACACGGGCCACAGTGGGCTGTTTGCATCACTAAAAGTTCCAAGAAGTTCACCATCACTGATCTAGGATGTAGCTCACTGGTCATGTGGAGGCCCTCAAAGCAATCGCCAGCACCAAAATATATGCATACATGCACACATACATACGCACACATAGGTGCATGCGCTCATTGCACAGGGACTCGGAGAGTAGCTCAGCTGTACAGTGTGCTTAGCATGAGCGAGATCCCGGGTGAAAGCCTCACAGTGAAAATGAAAGTAAAGTTAAAAATGGGGGGGGGGGGGCAAGGAGAATGAATCGGCTGCAAGCATTCTGATATGTTATAAATTTGTCTAAGGTGATACCGTAGAAAGACTTTAAGGAAGAAAATATAGGAGGCAAAGAAGGCTTTAGGTGGGAAGAAGGTTGGTATGGTTGTTTTTTTGGCTGTATTTTGAGATAGGATCTCGAAAAAGGAAGAGTAGTATTAAAAAAAGAAGCAGACAAAGGCTAGATTACATAGACTTGGCAATGGTAAGAACTTCAATTTTATTTTCTAAATATAGGCCAAGAAAATATTGACGAGAGCAGGGCTGAAACAGGTCAGTAAAAGGCTTCTAAACTAGTCCAGGCAAAAGCAGAGACAGCACGCGATTTGACTGGAGCCGTTGTCATCCTTGCTCATTTTCTTCCCCCAAACCTCTCTTTTCACCAGATACTTGCACTACTGCTCAAGGCAAACCCTAAACACCTTCCTTCCTTCTTTCCCTCAAGACTCCTCCATACCACCTGCCAATCTCTTGTGAAATCCTTTTCTTCCACCTCCAGAATAAATCTCACATTTCCATTACTGTCCCCACTGTGACCCTCATCTCAGTACACATCTTCCCCCACAACTAGCATCCAAACTAGCCTGGGGGGCCAGGGAGATGGCTCAGCAGAATAAGCGCTTGCCTGGCAAGTGCAAGGGCTTGAGTTCAATCCCCGCTTCCGCCAAAACAAACAAACAAACAAACAAACAAAGTAGCCTGGGGCCTCCAGAATGGGTCTGGAGCACTATTTCTTCAATCTCATCTATTTTCTCATATTTCACAAAATTTTTACTTCTTTTCCACAATGATCTTCTTTCCTTTTCTCACCCAGAATCCTGTCATTTCATCAGTTATTCCTTTATTGCCACTGCTATGCTTCTTTTTTTTTAGATTAGGAAGGCCTTCCTCTAAGATTATCTCATACTCTTTTATCCAATATAGAAATCCTAGCCAACACAATTAGATTAAAAAAAAATTGGAAAGGAGATTGTTATCTGTTGGTGATATAATACATATCTTAAAAAACTTAAAGACTTCAACACCAGAAATAAGTATAGTAAAGGAACGACAAACAGCTGGTAGGACTGTCAATGCATCCAGTCCAACAGAAACGTCTAATGTAAGACACATATGTAATATAGAATTTTCTAGTAGCAATATTTTAAAAATGAAAAGAAATATGTGAAATAAAATACTCTTAAAAAGGTTTAAAAAAAACCTTAAAGACTAATAAAAAATCTTTAAGGACCAATGAATGAATTCAATAGTTAAAAGATACAAAATCAGGGTTGAGGAGACAGCTCAGCAGTCTAAGTGCCTGCCTGGCAAGCACAAGGACCCAGGTGTGATCCCTGGTACCCATGCTGTGCTGGCCTCAGAACCCCGGGCATGCTGTGTGGGTCACTGAAATCGGGTGTGGTGGTGCACACCTGTCATCTCAGCACTGGGGAGGCTGAGTCAGGAGGATCACTATGAGTCCAAGCTGCATAGGATACCCAGTGCCAAATAAATAAACAAATAAATAAAGATTTTTAAAAAAATTTTAAAAGGATGCAAAATCAACATAATAAAAAAATCAGTTCCACTTCTATCCATAAAACCAAGCCATCTGAAAAGGAGGTCTGAGGTTTCTCTCGGGTACAGCACTTAGCTAGCACCCGGGGGGCCTTGTGTTTGATCCTTAGCACTGCAAAAAACACAGTGAAGTAAAATGCTTTGGAATAAACTTAACCAAAGAATTTAAGGATCTGTACACTGAAATCTATAAGATGCTGATGAAATAAACTGAAGAAAACACAAAGATACCCATGCTCACAGACTCTATGAATTAATACTGTGAACATATTCATACTAACCAAAGTGATACACAAATTCAGTGCAATCTCTATCAAACTTTCCATGGCACTTCACGCAGAAAAAAGAAAAAAGTCCTAAAATCTGTACGGAGGCAAAGTGGCAATCATTTATTTATCGTTGACCTAAAAATGGACAGGACCAATGGAACAGAATAGAGAAGCCAGAAATCAATCCATGCACATAAGGTCAGTTATGACCTGAACAATCTTGGACAAAAATAAACAATGAGGAAAAGGAAAAGAAGGTCTCTTCAGTAAATGGTGCTAGAGAAAACAGGAAATCCATATACAAAAGTAAAATTGGACTTTTTAAAATACCATAAATAAAAATTAACTCAAAATGAATGACTTAGGGGCCGGCCAAATAGTTCAGTGGATTGAAGTGCCTGTAAGCAGGGGCTGGGGGCTCGATCCCCGGGCCTGCCCTGCCGGCCCCGACCCCGGAGTGCGCTGGGAGGGCAATTGAGACTGGGCATGGTGGGAATGCCTGTAATCCCAGCGCTTGGGAGGCTACAAACAGGCGGATCACTATGAGCCCAATCTAGTGAGACCCTGAACACCCTGTAGACCCTGCCCTAAAATACAAAATAAAAAAGAATTACTTAGATATAAATTCAAAATGAATTAAATTACGCTGGAATGAATAAACTTCTGAATAGGAAAAAAAATCCTTAACACTGGCCTTAGTGATGATGATTTTTTTTTAATTTTGTTTTTAGTGATGATTATTAATATGACACCACTGGGGCTGGGGGCACGGCTCAAAAGTGGAGCTCTTGCCTCGCATTCACTAGGCCCTGAGTTCACCCTCAGCACCACACACACACACACACACACACACACACACAATGATGACGTAAGCACAAACAAAAACAAAAATAAATAAAGGGCACTACATAAAACTGAAAAGTTTCCCTATAGCAAAGAAAGCAATCAACCAAATGAGACCTATAGAATGAAAGCAAATATTTGCAAGTCATATATAAGAAGCTAAATATCCAAAGTATATGGCACTCAAACAATAGAAACAAAGTGGGCAAAGGACCTGAACAGGTATTTTTCCAAAGAAGACATACAGAACAAAAACAGGTATATAAAAAGGTACCTCACAATACTAATCACCAAATATGCAAATAACAAAGAACAATCACTTCGCACATGTTAGGATGACTTGTCAAAAGGACAAGATAGCACTGTTGGAAGGTATGAAGAAAAGGAGACAAACCCATCTACACTGTTGAAGGGGATGCAAATGTTATTACAGAAAACACATGGAGCCTCCTTCAAAACACCGACTACCCTATGAGCTAGCAATCTCATTTCTGGAGATTATATGTATACATATGAATGAATGGCGTGTACATGAAGCGAAGTCAGTATCTCAAAGCGATGCTGGCAGACCTTCTTCACTGTGGGTTCACAATAGCCAGTCTCCACAATGTCAGTAATACAGATGAACCCACAGGACATATGCTAAGTTAAATAAGCCAGGCACATAAACACAAATACTATGTGACCTCACTTATATGTGGAATCTAGACAAGTCATAAAGACAGTAGCCAAGATGGGGATGTAGCTCAGTCATAGGGCACAAGCTGAGCATGCACATGGCCCTGCATTCGAACTCAGAATCACAAAACATCCAAACGAACAACAAAAAGAGGGAGTAGAATGCTGGTTGCCAGGGGCTGGGAGGTAGGAGAAAAAGAGGAGACGCCTATTAAAGGACACAACTGGGCCAGGGAGATGGCTCAGTGGAATAAGCACTTCCCTGGCAAGCGCAAGGGCCTGAGTTCAATCCCTGGTTCTGCAAAAACAAAAAGGACATAACCCTTCACTTGTAAGATCTGGGGATCTACTGTATAAGGGGTAATGAATGTGTTAATTTGATAGTGATAACCTATTATATAATGCATACATATTTGAAATCAAATTGCAAATCATGAATACATATTTGTCAATTAAATGTTTTAATTAAATATATTT